TGTAGATGGTGCTTGAGAAAAACTATGAGGATAAAACCCCAAAACCCCAAAACCCCAAAACCCCAGCAATAAAAACAGAGGAGTTTTTAATAGGTTGATAAAACATTAGAACAAATAAATTTTGGCCAGAAAATATCAAAAAGTTTGGTGACGACCAAGGATTGTTGTGAGACTAATTCACTATTACTATAGAATTTGTTCTATGTTTGATTCTTAAAAAGGAATTCCTCCCACTCCAGCAAGACCTCCAACAGTAGCTGCGTTAATATACTGGCTCATGCCCAGTGGAAGCTGCATCTAGCTATGATACTACTGGTATGCTTATTACAAAAGTTGCTGATGATCTTATTGAGTGAGAGTTGGTTGTAACTAAGCAGCTTATGCAGCTTATGCCACCTGCTGCTAATGCTACTGCAATTATTGTTAGATCATTGAACGGTTATAAATATAGTAAGCTATTTTTGAATGAGTTAAGCCACGCTTCTGTGGCCTTGTTAGTTGAGTACACTCGATAACGTCAGCTAAAGAGTTATATTGAAAGGCATTTCTGTTCAAAGTATCCAATCCTAGAGGATAATGCTGAGGTAGCATTCCCGCTTATTGTAACAATTATTGTTGTAGTAAAGCCATATTATAGTTTGGGTCAAAACCTTATAATGCAGGATTTATACCGTAAGGATATGCCTGCAATTGAGCTTACTATTATAGCTAAAGTTGAAGGTGCTCCGTTAGGTATTAATACTAGAGTTTTTACTCAGGTTTTAAGGTGTTTGGATCCTAGCTGCTTAGCTGGTTTAGCTATTCAATTATCTATAAAGTCTATATATCTAGCTCTGGTCCGTTGAGTCCTAAGGCCTTAGCTTACATCTGTTGGAGAAATAGCTATTGCAGTTGCTATTCATCCTTCAAGCTTACTAATTAGGATGGGGCAGCCTGGATAATCTATCCTTGTTCATTAATGAAAAGGCCATTGAGCGCAAGATATTATTGAATATCTATTTATTGTCCTGTCTAAGCTTAAATTTATTGGATATTTGCTTATATCAATTATAGATCAGCTGGAGTTAGTTACTGCCCGGCCAATGCTGGGTTCATTGATTGATCTAGGTGCTTTTTCGATTTTACTTCTTCTAATTGGGCAAGTTGCTAAAGATATACTTAAGCTAGAGGATCATTAGAGTCTATAAGTTATTTTATCAGTTACATGTAGCTTTGCTCTTGCATATAATCGCCTGTAAGAATATTAAGTAAATTTTGATCTGGATATTCTTAAGGTTTTTATTGATTTGATGGCGTTGATTGAGGTAACTAACTAACTTCTTTACTTGCAGAGTTTTGCTAATTAATACCAACGAATGCCCCATCATTTCCAAAATTGGACTGTTTTTAATTTGGATTATACTATAAAGTTAAAATCATGACAAATTACAAAATTAGTTTTATCAGTGTTGTTGACAGATAATCGATCAGAAACCATTTAATCTTAATTACTAAAATTGTGGTGATTCCCATTCTTGGGATAGTCCACCATCTATGTATCTTTCTCCTCACTTTGGGTAAGGATCTCATCATCATCTAGTTCATGAAGATGCTTGACAAAATCAAATAATTTGGTGAGAGCCTCCTCGCTTTCATCATCGAATAATGACTACTAGCCAATTCTCTAGCTATATTAGAATTAATTAATCATGTATTAAATTACTCATTCTACTTTTTGATTGGCTCTTTTCGAGAAATCTATGGAATCGGAACATTTACCGGATTTTTTCCTTTGACCATGGGTTTTTGTGGGACAAAACCCTATTATTACCTCGGATTCACTTTTATCATTGGCTATCAAGAGAATGTTAATAAATCAAGAATCTAGTAGATATAATTTAAATTACCTTCTTCACCTTATTCCATTGTTTTGCACTCCCATTGAAAATCTTTTCTTCTGACTTACATTCTTGTTCTCTATCGTTACTAATCTATACGTGATTGTCATTTGTATATTGTTACATTTGACGCGTTGCCTCTGATCTGCTAAAGATCGTTCAATATTTCATCCTTGGTAGCTCCTTTACTATTTGAATCAGTAACTTTTCCTATCTCTAAATTTGAAGGTAAGCAATGTGCTTTGGTACATACTTTAGTTCAACTATCTCGGTACATAATTTGAGTCATCGTTGTTTGTGTCCTTCGTCTTCCTTCTTGTCTGCATCACGCAAGGATGTTTTTATAATTTTTTTAGATATAATCAATTATTAGCAAGCAGCATTAGAATTCTATTGAGTTCAAAAACTTATATTAATAAATAGGCTGCATATAAAAGCATGATTTTTATTCATGTTTCACGTAATTTTCAGCCTATGTAATCTATTGGGGTTTTGGGGTTTTGGGGTTTTGGGG